CATCCATGGGAAAGGTAAAGCATGGATTAGGCAGCCTGCAATTCCATCGGTTTCAACTAGCAAATTTGATGAGTACATCAGTCAGGCGGGGTTGCAGCGGCGGTTCCAACGGTGGTGTTGTATGGGCAATGGAGAAATGACCACCACTTTTGTTGATGAGACCCATCGTCTGTTTGCTGAAACTCCAATAGGGGTCCAATATTTGCCATAATCAATTAGAAATATACTATTCATTTTCCCCGACCTTACGACCCCTGAACAACGGCATCAACAACCCCACTCCTCCGGCCACTCTTCCTCTCTTTTTTCCCTCTTTCTCTTCCTCCTCCTTCCCTTTATTTCTTCCTCCCCTCATTCCTTCTTGCTAGTGTCCATTCCAAGATAACTTTTTACCCTTTTTATCCGGCAAGGATCCACTTATCTTGTTGCGTCTCATTGAACTCATTTTCAAATGGCAAGCATCAACACACCCCTCGCGTTTTCAGATGGCAAGCACCAACATCGGGGGTGAATAAAAGCAAGCACATGCTCCTGAGGTTCAGATGGCAGGCACTAGAAGGTCTAAAACCCCAGACGACAAGCACAACATGTTGGGGTGAAGACAATGATATTATTATCATTTTCTCAAAATATAACAGTTACATGATGCCACATGTAAACGGATTATGACGAAACTCTAACGGTAAGACAGTAATTAGTCAATTGTCATAAATAACAAGGATACTTTAAGATAATATATAAATAATAAGGGTGGATTGTGATAAAACCCCAATGATAGAACTGTAATTAATCAATTATTAGAAATAATAAGATTAGTTTACGAAATTTGCCCTTTTATTATAAATTGGATATTGAGGAGAGCTCAAACAAGGGTACGAAGAAAAAAAAAACAAGGGTACAAAGAAAAAATATGTATATTTATACATGTAACTTTTAACGGGAAGGAGTGTTGAAGAAACTATTGACAGCACCGATTACATTCAGGGACCATAAAATTTGTTTCAAATACATGGAGAGGGGGCTTGAAAGCTTCAAGTCATAAAAATAAACTAGAGATACAGGGGATTAAATTTTAGGGGATCGAGAAGCTCTTCTATTCCACATTGCCATTAATTGCAGTTTACAGGTCACCTGAACTGAAAATGGGTGGTAGGCAATAGCACCCTCTCTACCATTTTGTTTATACAATCCAATTTTCATTTTATGGGTTCCCGGCTGGCAATAGATTAACTTGTTTATATTCTTAAGTTTTGTTAATGTTATTATTTGATTTCTAAGATGTTTTTCTTTTTCTTTTTTTCTTTTTGAGAGAGAGATGGCGTGTTTTGAAAATTGAATGAACAATTAATGGTGTTTTTTTTTTTTGTTTTACATCTTTTTTTTTTAGATTTAACCTTGTAAAGGTCAATAGGCTGTATATAAATATAAGTAGTTTGTCAAATGTACATGGTTATATATATACCCTATTATTATTAGCGAAAACTACAAGTAGGTACCCTCTACTATATTTTAACTGCAACAACTAAGTACCTTGTACTTTCAAAAATCAATAGTTAAGTCTAGCATCGTTAAATTTTATGAATTTTTATATGATATATATTTGAAATTTTAATAGATTTGATATACTTTAAGTTAAGATTATATATTTTTATAAATTATTAATTAATATTTGATGAGAAAATATTTATTATTTACATAAATAAAAATATTGTTTATCAAATATTTGAGAATTATTATTTTTAGTTTGCTAATGTTAAAAAATATAAATAGTAAGATAGGAAAAGTTGATATAATCATTAAAATGTAATATTGCATATGTTTTGTGCCTTTTGTTTTGATAAGAAAACCATAGGTGCTACACAAACTTAGGGGTAGGGGTGAGCATTTGGTTTCTTCAGTTAAAAATCGAACCGAATAAATCAAAAATTTAAAAACTGAAATAAAAAATGAAAATCGAACCGAAATTGACAACCAAAACTGAAAATTTTGGTTATTTTTATCAAAAACAGAATTTAATTAATATATAAATATATAGCATATTATATATTATATACTGTATATTATATATTACATATTATATAATGAATTTCAGTTAATTCGGTTTTTTCGGTTAACCGAATTTCTAATTCTGAAAACCAAAACCAAAAACTGAAATTCCTAAAAACCGAACTAACTGAATCGAATTACCTAAAAACCAAAATTTCCTGTTCAATATTTCAATTTTAACCGAATAATGCTAGGGGGGGCGGAGACAAGTCCAAAGAAACATTTGACTTGAGCTTCATTGACCTGGAAACATGAGGTCGAAATTGGCTTGACTCAAAAGCTTGAATGTTCAAGCTCGGCTTAACTTGAGCTCAACATTGAGCCATGCTTCATAAAAAAAATATCATACATATAAAAAAATCATTTAAAATTTATACATATAACTTTTATATATATATATATGTATGTATGTATGTATGTATGTATGTATGTATGTATGTATGTATGTATGTATTATTATTATATAAGATAAATTTTCACAAGCTTCAAGAATTGAGTTTCATAGGGATTTGAATTCAATTCAATTAGCAAATGAGCCAATATATTATGCTCAAGTTCAACTTGAAGCTCAATTTAGATTGAACCAAATTGAATTTTTCACAATAAACTCGAATAATGTATGGAAAAGCTAAGTTCGTGTCTATCCCCATTCCATGCCCAACATCTACATGTAAATTTTAATTTTTATCAAGAAACCTTTAAATCATCAACTAGGGCTTCTCCTGAAAAGTTGAAAAGTAGGGACGTTAGAGAGGGTCGATTCTATTTCAGTTTTACTTTACAAACCCCGCGTAGGGCCTTACTATTAATGTTAATTCAATGCAAAATAATTTGAATATGAAGACTGGATTTAGTAGGCACACCACACACTAGGTGTGATCATTTTAGCCTGGCCCGGACCTGGCACGCATCAGGCCCACAAAATCTAGGACTGGGCTTGGGCCTAACTTTTTAGACCTAACCTGGATACTTATAAACAATATATATCTGTGCGTGTATGTATATATATTATTTAAAAATATTTGATAATTGATGTTTTATATATTAAATAGAGATTAATATAAATTCGTAGGAGATTAAAGATTTTAATCCTATGGTATTAGATCTTACAAAATTCTAATATAGTATTTAATGAAATATATAATTTACTAGACCATAATCTTCTCTCTCTCACCAATTTCACAAAACCACTGCCGTGCCCAATCTCTCTCTCACACCAAAAGACGAATCTTCTAGTGATGATGACTCCATTGATGAAGATAAATCTGAAGTTTAGAGTGGTTGCAAGTTTTGGGTAAAATTGAAATAATTTTCAATATTTTATTATTTATTTATTTACATTAATTTGAACTATTTTTTCTTAGTTTGCTAATATATTTTTTATTTCACTTTTTATTTGTAGGAGTTGAATGGAAGATGGAGCCCCTTATAGAGATGTTTAAAGTTGTTTTTGTGGATATTACATGACAATGGATGGTTATTTTTTGATAGATATTATAGGTTCTATGTTGATTTTTAGTTGATAGAATAATTAGTTTGTTAAAGTTGTCATTTTTAGCATACCAATTGAAACTTATAAATTACAATGTATAATTATTTAATTTCTTTTATGTCAAAAGCTTTTATCTTGATATTAAAGTTTAAAGTTCCTTATAGGTTACTATAGTCCCTACGACAATAAGTGAAAAAAAGTACAATTGTTTATTTTTTGAACTAAAATACAATAATTAGGCACAAAATCTTAGCCCGGCCCAACTTGGGCCCATATAGGGCCGGGCTCAAGCCTAACCTAAGCCCACTGTTATAAAAGCAAAGCCCAACCCCTGCCCGACCCATGATCACCCCTACCGCACACCATTGTGGGAACATCACTAAACACTCGATAAACATACTCTCTAAAAGTTTTTCTTAGGATAGAGGATTTTTTTTTATGGGACAGGTGTTACAAAATTTCCCCAAAGTATTTTATCAAACAAGTGTGACAAAATTTCCTGAGTGTTTACATGCATGCCTACGTGATCCCAATGCAATATGATCAGCTGTTATTTAAAACCTGTAAATTCACTGACAACATACCATCCATCAAGAACAATTTTCGTGCTTGATCAAGCCAAACCGAAAATCTAAATCTGGTTAATCAAACTGGTTGATTCAGTATTTTAAAGAACCGAAGGTATTGGTTCGATTTTAGTTAAGCAATACAGAAAATAGGTGATAAACTGAAACGACAGATATACATATATTTTTAAATATTTTATATATATATATATTTATGTATATTATATATTGTATATTTTCTATATATTATAAATTAATAAACATGCATTATACATAAATATATATATATATAATATCATATTATTTAAAATATAATATTATAGATATTTATAATTTTTTATTATATACTTATATATGTTTTTATAATATATATTATAAATATAAAAAATAAAAAAAAAATGACGAATGGAATAGATGGTTAATCGAATCAGTCAATTGGTTAATCGATCGACTCAAATTCGATTTCGATTACCGGTTTCCCAAAAATGGATAACCCCGATTTAATTTTAAAAATAGGCCTTAACCAAATCATTAACACCCTATTTTTCCAAGATCACATCTCCGCCCCACAAGGTACCACTCCATAATGTCCCACAACACATCCTTGCCGTATATTGAAAACATCTCCCGATAATAATACCAGAACTGATGATGTCATTATCGGGAGATATTCCCAATACACGGCAGGGATGTGTTGTGGGGCATTGTGAGGTACTCCCTTATGGGGTGGAGATGTGAACTCTATTGTTTCCCCCGACTCCATGAGTGGCTACGCACGGTGGATGTGCCTCTGAGACGTCCATTTGTGAGGAGCAGATCCCATTAGTGTTATGTCACATATGTGGATAGGTGTGAGTTTTGTCGTGGGCAGAAAATCCGGACTCATGAAACACGGGAAGCAACGCGAGGACAAAAAACAACGCGCGAAAAAAGAAATTTACTCGTAAATCCGTCAATTTTGAAAAAAGCCGTAGGTTCGTGCAAATGTACGTTAAGCTACGAATAGCTGCCTCCTTCCGACTCCGAGCGCGCCTGGTTCGGTTCCTGGCTTCTGCAAATGCGCTGTGCACACTGGACGGAGTCTGATACTCCGATCGGATTCAATTTTTCCATAGCAACTGTCCAACAAAAAGCAGTTCATTTCTCAACTTTTTTTTTTTTTTAAACGCACACATTCTTCCTTGTTTTTTATCCGTCTGCAATTCAAGAACTAAAATGCATTAAAAGGGATTCTACAAAGTTCTGGCAGTGAAATTGCATACGGAGATCGGAGAGAATGTTGCACGAGCTCTTATTAGCACTAATAGGATATACCGGAGATCTCATAGTCGACGAAAGGGAGCAGCAGAAAATTTTATTTCCCGATGCCCCAGTATCGGAGGAATGCACCTTCAAGCTAGCTCCCGACATTTCCTTCTTACAAGCCTCCGAAAGGTAATTAAATTCGTATGTTTCTCCCTCGACAACTCTCTCCCTGATACGTCTCTTGTTCATCCGCTCGATCGTAAAAGCTATTACTATGAATTTTATTCTTCTATACTTAGGGTTTCACTTACGTAGCCATGCTTGTGAAACTGGTGCTTTACTCCATATAGTCAATTGCGTTGAGTTGGATTATAATAACCTGCCTCACTGAAAGAAAATGGATACTCGAGATCTGTATCGACGTACAAAACCCTCCTATCCAATTTTACAGAATTGTAAACACAGTTTGAAACGAATTTACAGCATGCTTGGGAATGATGTTAAGGAGGTTACTTGGTTAGCTTATTGATGTGGAGATAGACTTGTAACTTGACACTGCTAATCATTTCTGGTTTCGGCATTCCGTAATTTAAACTTGTTGTGGTTATCCTGAACAAGAATTAAAACATCAATTCAGCAGCTTCAAGAGGGGAGGGGTAGCGGAAATATTTTACAGAGCTCTAGTTTATTACTATTAATTGTTTACTGCACTGATCCGTAGTTCTTGAATTTATTGTCAACCATTTTGAATTGTTGTCTCTGTCTGCGTATAGTTGAATGTTTGAGAAACTGTTTTCTTCATTTGAACAAAGCCTTGTTGATTGCAGGGCCGTTATCGAGAGTCTTATTTCCTTAGGATTTTATTATAGAGAGCTTGATCGCTTTGCATCAAAGTCTCGTAATTTAAGCTGGATACGGTCCACAAATGATGCTCCTTTATCACGAACTTCTGTTCTATTGAAGGGCAAAACAAAAAAGCCAAGCATATACCGTAGGGCCATAGCAAATGGCATTGTTGAAATATTATCAGTTTACAGGTCTGCTGTTCTACAGGTTGAGCAGATATTGCTATCAGATCCTATGCCCATATTGGCGACAGTGACTCGAGGACTCAATAAGGTTGGTCAACGTGAGCAGATATTAAACTGAGTAGTTATGGTCTCTTTGTAGGACTGACACCTCTATTTATTTATTTTATTTTTTTGGGTAAGAATTTAAGTATGGCTAGCACATCTGTTTATCTATTTCATGGTGTTGCCGGCAATTATATGCTACACATTTAATTTGTTGTTTTTTTCCCCAACAAAGCAGGTGAAGCTGAGGGTAAGATCTGCCTCACTGCACTGTATTATTGGGTTGACTCCCCCATATCAAATTCTTGATTAACCACATTTTTAACCCAGAGGTCTTGCACTGAGGCCCTGCTTACCCACCTTTTCACCCAAAAATGAAGGAAGCCCCAGATCAATTGGTTGGTTAGCTACATTGAAGCTCCAAAAGCTCCAAACTTCAATAAAAAAAAGCCTAAAAGGGTTGGCAAGCTTTATGGGATTGAAACTTTCCAGTGCAGGATAACCAAGAACATTTAGGGCTTTTTTGGGCGCCTATCCATGCCATGGTTCAAAGTATCGATACGATATGCCTGATACGGGGCATATAGTATCGTATCTTTTGAAAAAGATACGGTTCGAAATGCCTGTTTCCAGGTGTTTCAGACCCCCATTTTTTTTAATAATAAAAAGCATGCTAAAAGCTTCCCAAAAAACCAAAACGTGAAAAAAAAACAAAAACAAAAAAAATAAAGTTTCGGCCATTTCTAAGTACTGATATGATACAACCGAAACTCGTATCGTATCGATACTTTGAACCTTGATCCATGCTACTTAGTGAAAAATTTCTGTATCACTTACACTTCCTCTAAATGGTTAACTAGTAAATACATATATACCATGGAAGAGATAACATGAAACTTCACTTATTGTCTAGATTTCCCTTGTCTTGAAGCCCAAATTCACATTGGTAATGTGTGCATGCAGAGAATGTCTGCATAGAGAGAAAGTAAAAGATAGATAATTGGGAAAAGTTTGTAACTTTGTATTCCAAGATGGAGCTACTGTTGTAGCATATACCCAACTTTCTATTTAATCTCTTTGAAGAAGGTAGAGCTGATACAAAACTTGGCAGAGAACAAGTGCAAAAGTCATATTGACAAGATTGTTTCTACCCGTTAAGTTAAATAGACCATGAAATACAGGAACCATTTTCATTTGGGATTCTATTTTTTCGTTCTTGTTTTATGTGCCCTAGGGCTTCAGTAATCATTATCTGATTCTTTGTCAGACAGTTGATGTGTCAGTCAGCTTCGAGATTTTTTTTTTTGCACTATCCTTTTAGATTTCTATATTTTGTGTCCATTCGTTCTTCTTGATAAATTTATTCAGAGATCAATGTTGGTGAATGTTGCATCCTGGTTAAATTTGCATTGGTGATATTCTGGTTGCTTATATCTAATAGAGATGTTCCTGCTTTTAATTTTATCATGTTATCTCTGGAGTTAATGCTACTATATCTTTTTGTTCAGTTAAGATACCTGCAGTATCTCCTTATATATTTATTCTATATATTTTTCTTGACTTGTTTATTATGCCCTAGTTTTTTGTGCTTCTGCCTCCACTTTATGAGCTCATTGTGGAGATAGAGCGTGATGATGTTCGGGGTGGGCAGCTTCTCAACCTTTTGCACAAAAGATGCCACTGCGGAGTTCCTGAATTGCAGGCATGCATTCAAAGGTATTAGCTTTTCCACTTTTTTATTCATAAAAATCATGTTTGTTTTACAGCAGCAATGTTAGCTACATTTTTCTTGTGCAATTTGCTCATTGTCCACTTTTCCACTGCGGAGTCTTTTGCATGCTGACAGTTCCCTGCCTGATAAGTTTTTGCTTTGCGAAGGATGTATTCCATATTCTGCGCATCAGTGAATACCCCCTGATGTACTTTTTTTTTTTTTCCTATAGCTAATATCCATGTAGTTACCTTTTTCTAAAAGAAGGTGAAGTTTTCAAATGCTTTATTTTTACCGTATGCTGAATTGCTAACATTGGATCCTGAAACTTTGTCTTCTGTAGTTAATTGCCTTTTGATTGTGAGAGAAACTGCTGGCCAAATTTAATTTCATTTTAAATTATAACATAATAGTGGTGAAGTGTGCTAAATTTTTATTCCCCTGTTTTTCCCCTGAATATGAATCAGCTGTCTTGAAAGATGATTTTGTCTTTAATATAGTTAGTTGCCTTTTGATGGTGAATTTGAATATGAATTTTAGTTGAAACATTATCGGCATGTTATCAATTTCCTTCCATCTTCCAACGTACTCATATGGAGTACTTGGATTGTGCACAAAAATATATTTCATGAAAGAGGAACTAATGTTACAATCTTGCCATTGTATATGCTATACTCTGATGATATACGAAATGTAACTTCCCTATTATTTTGACCTACAGAGTGAAATTCAAAACTAGTTCCTCTTTTTGTAGGCTCCTTTGGCATGGACACCAAGTCATGTATCAGCAACTTTCATCATGGATGGTTTATGGAATTCTTCAAGATCAGCATGGAGAGTTTTTCATTAGAAGGTATTCAGTTGAAGTATTTTGATCAATTAGTTTTTGCAAGAGATAATTACCATTATCAGGTTTTGCATTAGAAGATGCTTGTGAAGTTGTGATTTCTATCCTCTTTTTAACCAAGGGGCTGCTTGATAACAATAACAGCTGAAGTGGCTGAACTGAGTGGCTTATTGATTTGTCTTTTAGAGAGCAAGTTATTAAGGAGGTTCTGAGCTCTTTAATAGCTGAAACTGAAATTGGGTTGATTACTGTACACAAATATTTTACTTTTTAGTTATTTTATCCACTAGAAGACAAAGCAATAAGTCATTCAGTTCAGCCAGTGCAGATGTTATCAAATGGCCATCATGTCATTGCTGTTGATAAGGATTTTGAAATGATCATTCTGTCTCCATTAAGAGATATGTTGCAATGACCTTTGTAATTTGAGATGTAGTCCAAAAAAAACAACATTAGCATGCCAAATCAAAGAAGAATCATAAATATCAATTCCATTATATATTTTGATCACTAGGGAGGGGTGTGGAAATACAATTATCAGATTGATAGTAGTATCATAGTATGCAGACTTCTTCTATGGGTAAAGATGGCCATGAAGTTAACCAAAAGATATGATGAACCATTTAATAACCAAAGAGCCATTCTATTCCAAGAATAAAGCATTCTCCCCAAAGCAAGCAGTTCTCTTCCCAATAAAAAACAGCCTTATAAAAGCCAAAAAACAGTTTTTTTCTTCTCCACGAGAAACATTTTATTGTTTTTGTAGTTTTGGTGGGATGATTCAAAAATACATGAACCTTTCTCTCTCTATAAAGAGCTTTTGGCCTTTATGCTTTATCTTTTATGTATTTTGTGTTTTTGTCTCTTTTCCTAGCCTCTTTAGCATGTGAAAACACTTTGTCCCACATTGCTTGGGAAAAGAGGTGGAGTTCACCTGATAAGATAACTTGCTTTCCCTGGTAGAGGCCCATTGGAGGATACACTTTACATGGTTATCACATGCTTGTGGGGGGTTGGGGGTGCTTTTCACACATGCGTGTGCATGCTCAAGCTGGCTGTGGGTGCACATGCACACTGCATTGTATCTTAATATTCTAGAGCTTTCGGGGTTTCTAGAGAGTCTTTTGGGGTTGGTTTTTGCATTGAATGTATTTTGTTTTATTTTACTCAACTATCTTTTCTTTTGTTGGTGATCCCTCATCATCTTTGGTATTGTATCTATCATTTATCTTTTAATGAATTTTCTTTTTTATTTACCTTAAAAAACCTTTGTTTAATTTATTTAAACTTCTTTCTTGTGTCTCTTCGAATAGGTGTTCAACATTGTTCTAGAGAGACACATCTGTTTCTGTTGGGTGGTTTTTGTGTCCATTTAGGTGTTTGGAAACTCTCTATAATAGAGGGTTAGACAACTCCGGTGATACACCACTGCACATGCATTGTTCCAACTTTATCTTCCTTATTTGAGCATCTTCTACAATGATTCGAGGACTGGTAAGCGAGTGCACAACTATTAGAAGCATGTAGGCTGTTTCATCTTGGAAACCAATTTGCAATTTCCTAGTTGCACGATAGGGGGCAAGGGCAAATGCGGCTTTAAGGAGAGTGACTAGATGGCATGTCTCAGCTGGTTTCACACCTCTAATGTCAATTTTGCACCTTCAACTAGCTGTTTTGCAGTTTACGGGCATGTTTTGCAGCTCAGACTTGCTGTTTCACAGCTTATAGTGGTTCGGTTTGCACCAAAATGATAAGTTCCCCCATCTATATTCACAACACATTTTGGCCCCAAATACAAAACACCTCACAAAATAATCTTTACACCGAAACTTGGGGGACCAAACTGTATAAACCCCATAAGAAGGTCCAACCCAAAATGTTTTCATGAAGAACTCACCACAAAATGTTCTCTCACCATGAAAAAAAATAATATATAAAATACCAGAAAAAGTAAAAAATAAACAAAAGAATTGTGGACAGCACTCTAAATAATGGTAAGGTCCATTTGTTATTATAGATTACAGTCTTCATATCTTGTTGATTTTTGATATTCTTCTTCTGGGCATTTGCTTTCAATTTTGAATTGCTTTGCCAAAATTAAGTACATGAAGTAATTATTATTTTTTCAGGCAGGAAGATAGGGATGTAGATAATAGGTCATCTTGTCCTGATGTGTCTGAGAAATTGGTGCAAAAATCACATGATGATGCATCTTTAACTGATTGGCACTTGGGCTTCCATATTTTTCTGGTATTCTTAAACTTTTTCTATTTAATGCTGTCATCTATTCTTATATAAAGTTGCATTTTGATATATGATTCTCATTGTCTGTCTCTTCTGTGCTCTTGCTTTGCTTCGTTTAGTTCTGAATCTGAAGTTACTGCAACACTTAAACTATGGGGACTGTGATGTATGGAATTGTTTTCTCTTTCTCAAGTCAACTACAGATCTCCGGAGAAGATCTGGCAATCTTGCAACTTCATATATGTTGAATTTCTGTCTATTGCCTGGCTAAAAGACGATAATTGCAGTTGTTTACTGTATGGATAATACATGCGCATAGACATTACTTATAAGAAAGGGCCATTCCTCAATGCTGCTCTAGCTATCCAGGGTCTTGGGAAATTGGACATAGACCTAACGTTTGGCATTTTAGAACAAATTTGCCACTCAGAATTGAATCTGCGTTCTCATGCTTGTCAGTCTGAGGTTTTACCATTGCACGAAGCAGAGGCACTCCTTCTCATGTCTGGAATTATGGGATTGTCTAGTTGTTTCATTCATAGAGCATATCTTTAATAGAAAATAATAAACAACCAGTTCTACATGATATTGATACTTTACTGCAATGTTTTAAAAACTGACCCGGAACCAGAACTTCTTTGGTCACTGGCTTGGGTCAGCAGTTCAACATTTGGTCCGAAGACAGCCTGTTGCAATTTAAAAAAATAAGAATAGAAATAATTAAAATAAAAACAGCCAAAAGCCATTGTCTGGGTCAAATGGGTCGATGGTCTAACTGCCTAGGTCAATGGGTCACTGACAAAGTAGTAGTCGTACAAGACTACAGATTTGAACAGAAAATAAAAGAAAATTAGAAGAGAAGAGGAGAAGAGAAGAAGAGAGATGGAGAAGAAGAACTTGTGGAAGGATTTTAGGAGAAGAGAGTGGTTGGTTGTATTAAACAGCCGCCCCACCCTTTGAATTTATATACATGCTTTCATAATTGTAATAGGACTTAATGTTTACATGGCAAGATAAGATAAGATAAGATTAAAACTAATCCTACTAGGAAAGCTAATCCTAATCAAGACTTAATTAAATCTATGCTGTCCCATGAGTACACTAATGTGGGGTCCACAGTTTCCTACACTCACCCTCAAGTTGGGAGTAGATGTTTGTTATTCCCAACTTGCATAGATCTTCCTCTAACTTCTTCCTTGAAACAACCTTGGTGAGAAGGTCTGCAAGCTGCATGTCGGAGGTGATGTAGGGAAGGCATACTTCTTGAGATGTAACTCTTTTTCTGATAAAGTGCCAGTCCACTTCAATATGCTTAGTTTTGTCGTGTTGTACTAGATTATGAGCTATATTAATGGTAGCCTGATTATCACAGTACAACATTAGGGGTTTCTCATAAACAATACTCAATTCCTCAAGTAATGATCTTAACCATAGAATCTCAGCCACACCATTTGCCATGGACATATATTCAACTTCAGCACTGGAGCGAGAAACAACACTTTGTTTCTTACTCTTCCAGGAGACCAGATTACCTCATATAAAGGCACAATATCCAGAGGTAGATCTTCGATCATCAACACACCCAGCCCAATCAGCATCTGTGTAGACTTCTATCTTCACGTCATTATTCTTGAACAAAATGCCTCTGCCTGGGGACCTCTTCAGATATGCTAATATCCTCTCAACTGCAAGGAGATGAATAGTTCTAGGAGAGTGCATATACTGACTAACTACACTATGAGGCAAAGATAGAGAAGTTTTCCAACTAACTGTTGGAACATAGCTTTATCTTCAAGAGGCTCTCCTCCCTCTGCATTGATCCTATGGTTTTGTTCAATAAGTGTGTCTGCAGGCTTAGCTCCCAACTTTCTTCTTTCTTCTAGCAGATCAAGAACATACTTCTGTTGAGAGACAAAAATCCCATGCTTGGATCTAGCTACCTCAATGCCCAAGAAGTATCATAGTTCCTCTAGATCTTTTACCTCAAACTCTTGATGAAGGAGTTGCTTAAGAGACTCAATTTCACTAGCATCACTTCCTATTAGTACATTATTGTCCACATACACAGCAAGTAAAGTTACGGAAGAAGTTACTCTCTTAATAAACAAGGTGTGGTCTGACTGGGCCTGCACATATCCGAACCTTTCAAGGGCTCGTCTGAATCTGCAAACCAAGCTCCGGGGGACTGTTTTAGTCCATATAAGGCTTTGTTCAATCGATAAACTTTTTTTTTTTCTGTCTCCGTACAATAAAATCCAAGAGACAATTACATGTAAACTTCTTCCTGCAAGTCTCCGTTGAGGAAGGCATTTTTAACATCCATCTGATACAATGGCCAAGAGTAACTAGTTGCAAGAGATAATAGGACTCTGATAGTGGTCATCTTTGCTACTGGTGCAAAAGTTTATAAGTAGTCAATACCATATGTTTGAGTAAATCTTATTGCAACTAATCGGGCTTTATACCTTTCAATGGAACCATCAGCATTATGTTTCATAGTGAATACCCATCTACATCCAACCGGTTTCTTTCCTTTGGGCTGATCAACTATTTCCCAGGTATTGTTTCTGATGAGGGCATCCATTTCTACTTTTATTGCATCTTTCCATTTTGGTACTGCCAATGCTTCCTGTATTGTTCTGGGAATGGGAATATCTGCAATGGATGCAAGAGAAGACTTGTAGGAGGAAGATAAATGACCATAGGACAAAAACTGATAAATGCAGTGAGCTGTGGATGTGGTGCAACGACGCTTGTCCTTACGGACTGCTATGGGAAGGTCAAGATCATCTAATGAAGGTGAAGGCTCCATGGCGGGATGTCTCTCATCTGTAGTATTTGTGGTACCTGGATCTGGATTTGTAGAAGGAACTGGGGCTACTGTGGTACTGGGATCTGGATCTGCAGAGGGGGTTGGGACTGGCCTGGACTGCTGATGTTCGAAATCAACCTGTCTCCATCGTCTGTGATAGACTCTCACATCCTTGCACCTTTGACAACCTTCCCCACTACACCCTTCTTCACTTAATGGGATTGGTAAAGGAACTTCTGATGTGCTAATCCTAGTCTCATTATTCTCCCCCTGAAGAGAAACCCGTGGGTAATAGGGTTTATCCTAAAAAAAAGTGACATCCATTGAGACAAATCTTTTTCCAGAAGTGGGTTCATAACAACAATATCCCTTTTGAGTTTGTGCATAGTGAAAGCTAAATTACTGTAGCCGAAGTAGCAGAAAAGAGAAGAAGAAGAAGAAGAGATGCAGGAATGTCGAACTTTCTACTCAGTCGACAGTACTATTATTTATATTATGGTGTAGTACAATGRTACAGGAAGTTACTAGAATGCCCCTGATTAGTGATGGGACACCYAGACAACTTAAAACATTAAACAGGATTAGGCCCATTAACAAAGGCCCAGTACARGACAACTTAAACTTAAGTAAAGGCTAATAAGAACTCTTATCAGCCGAATACTCATACATACAAAGACTTCAATCCAACACATAGCAAAGGAAAATACATTTGGAGGCCTTAGGATCAAATTTGGAACGATGAGGACCAAGGATCTGAACGAAGAAAGTGCAACTAAAGGTTTTAAGTGGAATGGTGAACGATTCTTTATCAGGGTATAGAAGGGTAAATGAAGATTTCATGTCAAGAACCCGTGAGGAATCCGATTGATGAGATATATTGCTGTAAGAACAACATCCCCCCAGAAACGTATAGGCACATTTGAGGTAAACATAATGCCTCTAGCTACATCCAATACGTGTCTATTCTTTCTTTCAACAACCCCATTCTGCTGTGGTGTATGTGGGTAGGTACTCTAATGGATAATCCCTTGGTCAAGCAGGTAGGAGGCTAATGGGTTTGCAAAATATTCTTTTGCATTGTCGGATCTAAAAATTTTAATTTTGACCCCAAATTGGGTTAAAATCATTTGATGAAAGATCCGGGTTAATGCTGGGACCTCATCTCGAGAACGCATAAGGTAAACCCAGGAAAACCGAGTATAATCATCAACAAATAACAAGAAATATCTGTACCCCCTATGGCAGTGGTATGATAGGGTCCCCAAACATCAGTATGCACAATTTCAAAAGGAATATTGCTCCTATTATTACTTAATGAATAGGTTGTCTTACAATGTTTTGCAAGCTCACAATTCTCACATTTCAAACTAGACATTTGGATAGATTCAAATAAACTAGGAAACAAACTTTTTAAGGCCTGAAAGGATAAATGACCCATCCTATTATGCCAAAGCATCACTTGATCAACATACTGAGAAACAGAGGATTTCTTAGTTTTGCTATCTTCCTGATGAGCACTTCCTCCAAGTAGGTAGATTCCATTCGTTTCACGATTAGTCCCAATCACCTTCCTTGTCTCCAGATCCTGAAAAACACATCAATCAGGAAAAAATGTTATTGAGCAGTTCTGTTTTTTTGTAATGCTACTAACTGAAAGCAAGTTAGTATTAAGCTTAGGAACATGCAAGACAGAGGATAGAGAAATGGCATTAGACAACTTGATGTCTCCTTTGCCATAAATAGGGATAAGGGATCCATCAGCAATGGACACTTTGTCTTTGCCAGAAGATAAATGATAGGTAGAAAAAATGATGGCAAGCCAGTCATATGGTCAGATGCTCCTGAATATATTTTCCAAGAATGTTCTGTATTACTTGGAGCTGAAGCATGATAAGCTAAGGCCCGATTACTTGATTGAGCAAAAGATGAGGTTGAAGGAGTTGATGGTGGCTGAGTTACTAACTTCACTTTCCAACTGTGTCAGAGCAGCTCGGACAACAACTAGGGTGTCTAAGGAGTGCCTCTTGAGGCTGTTGAGGCTGCACTATCAGTGTTAACAGCCATATTGGCATTCCCCTTTTTGTTTCCGAGTTTTGCTGGAACTAGATGTGGATGCAACTTCCAACAAGTGTCTTTAGTGTGTTTAGGTTTCTTGCAATGTTCATACACTACGTCCTTCTTAGCCTCTTTCTTCATATCCCTTTCCTTATCTCCCCTAGACTTGGGTTTAACTGCTGCCAGGGCAGATTCGAAAGGCTGCTGCTGCAACATAACCTTTCTCCTAGTCTCCTCACTGTGCACTAGGGAATAGGCTTGAGACAGAGTCACACCCTCTCTTGTCAACAACTATTGTCTTATAATATCATACTCAGAATTTAAACCAGCCAAGAACTCAAATACTATGTTAGTTTCAACTTGTCTTTTTGTAAGTCTGTGCATCTCTATGGCTTTCCCATTCTATTGTCTCAAGATGGTCAATTTCATGCCACAAAGATTTTAGGGTTGAAAAATAAACAGAGACCTGTTTCTCTCATTGTCCGAGATTTCTAACTTCCCATTTCAGCTCATAAGCCCTAGCAACATTAAGGGGCTGAGAATAGGTTTCTTTCACAACATCTCATATTTCTTTAGCTGTTTTTGCCCATAAGTAATTTCGGCTGATGCGTGGCTGTATGGAGTTGCACAGCCATGTCATCACCAAATAATTTTCCTGAATCCACCTAGCATAAGTGGGATCCTCCTTAGTTGGTTCCTTCACATCCCCCAACAAGTAGTTCAGCTTTCCTCTTCCCCCAATGGCCATCATGGCTGATTGGGCCCACTCTAAGTAGTTTGAACCATCAAACTTTATAGTTGTAATCTGGAAGGTGTTTCCAGACATGCTACCTGAACCAGTCCAAAAAACACTCTCCCCTTGGCTTTTAAACTCCATTATTGATCAGTAAAAAAACTTCCTAATTACTGTACCAGTCGGCCTACTAGGTCTGCAGCAGGTAATAGCAGTAAAAGAAGCCCTAATTTCTGTGACAGTTGGCCTATTAAGACTCATAGCAGTAAAAAAACTGTAACAGTTCTGTTGTAACAGTCCTGTTGAAACAGCTCTACTGAATCTTCCAGAGAGCAAAGAAATCGAGGGAGACAAGTCCTGAAGCAATAACAGCCCTGAAACTTGAGGGTTTCTCTTAAACCCTAAAAATGACTACAGAAGTCTTTTGGAGTTTTTTTTTCGTACCTCTTATATCAAGGTATTCTTGCTGCCGGTCTTAAGAAAGATTGAAAAACTTACCAGAAAATTCTGAAAAGCTTTGATCTTGATGAAAACTTCTGGAGTTTTGATTGTCTCTCTCAGTCTTGAAGAGAAAAAAAAAACTGATCTTGAACCAGAAATCTTCTGAAATTCTGATTGCCACCTCTAGTCTTGATCAAGAACTGATCTTGATCCTCTAATCTTGAAGGGGAAATTCTGATCTTGAACAGAAATCCTCTGAAATTCTGATCACAACCTCTAGTACTGATCGAATAGAAATCCTTTGAAATTCTGATCGCCACCTCTAGTACTGATCAAGGATTGATCTTGATCCTTTTCTCTTCCGCTGATTCTTCCTGGTTATCAAAGATACGATCCAATCTTTGGACTGCTGTTGTAAATAACCTCCAAGAATCAGCCAAAGAGAGCTTTCTCTATTCTTCCAACCCTAGGCAACTCTCATGTGGTCGGCTGGATCAAAATCACATGAGAATCCCTAATCCAAGCTCTGATACCAAGTAGTCGTACAAGACTACAGATTTGAACAGAAAATAAAAGAAAATTAGAAGAGAAGAGGAGAAGAGAAGAAGAGAGATGGAGAAGAACTCGTGGAAGGGTTTTAGGAGAAGAGAGTGGTTGGTTGTATTAAACAGCCGCCCCACCCTTTGAATTTATATACATGCTTTCATAATTGTAATAGGACTTAATGTTTACATGGCAAGATAAGATAAGATAAGATTAAAACTAATCCTACTAGGAAAGCTAATCCTAATCAAGACTTAATTAAATCTATGCTGTCCCATGAGTACACTAATGTGGGGTCCACAGTTTCCTACAAAAGTCAACAGTTTTTGGCAAAGAACAGTTCAGGGGTGAAATGGAACTGGTTGCCTGGATGGTTTCCAGGCCGAATGGTCTGACCGTCCGGCTTCAAAACCATGCTTTACTGCATACAAGTAAGAGTTAGTAGGAATAGATAATTACAAGCAGACCATGGTTATCTATTCAGGTTATGATGCTAGTGCATCATATGGATCCTTGTTGCTCACTTTCAGTTTTTTTATTTGTTATCTTTTATCTCTTTTGGTAAAAACCCCTTTCCACCAGCTCTGAAATGTCTGTTCCGTGATTTTAAGATCTTGCATCTTGTTTCATCATATATTGCAACAGATTTTCGTCTAAGTTTATCTCTTTCAATTGATATAGTGATACACTTTTTCCTTTTCCTTTGCCTAAAAAAATATTCCTAGGCCATATAGCAATACAAAGTTGAACTTTATGCTGTTATATTTTATTAATTTTTCTGCTTATTTGTTCAGGACATGTTACCAGAGTACATCCGTATGCCTGTTGCAGAATCAATTCTTTTTTCTGGAAAAGCAATCAGGGTCCTACGAAATCCAAGTCCTACTTTTAGATATCAAGATGCCGTTAATCATCAACCAATACCCAAAGGGTCACTTAGAGTTCAAGGATTTATGGGGCGCTTTGCTTTCCAGAAAGAGTCTTTTGCAGATTTGAAATTGATAGGAGAGGAATTACTTCCACAGTCCGAGGCTGATAAAATTGATGCTATGCTTCAAGAGCTAAAGGTCTAGTTATTAGTTTTACTGCTGCTGTATCATTCCACATATACATGTCAGAAGTGATGTTTGCACTTTGTAGTTTCTCATGACTATCATTATAGTTTCCCTTGGTTTCTTGTGCTACTATAACATCAAATGCTTGATTACTTTCTGCAGGATACTGCTGAATTCCACAAGAGGTCATTTGAACATGCAGTTGACTCCATCCGTACGATTGCAGCCAGTCATCTTTGGCAGGTGAACTGCGAATACGAGGGATTTTGTTCTTCTTGCTCTTCATTCATCTATTTACTGTTTGCCCTATTTTTCAGCTTGTGGTTGTTCGTGCCGACTTGAATGGCCACCTGAAAGCTCTTAAAGATTATTTTCTTTTAGCTAAGGGAGATTTTTTCCAGGTAAATGATGCATTTTAACAATCCTGTTTTTGCAGAACGCAGTCTTCTGAATGTAAGCATTTTTTTTTTGTCTTACTGAATCTCAATTCTCAATTCTGCATCTTCATTATAAAAAGAATATTCCGTCATCATTTCCTCTAGTTTTATTTCCATGTAATACTGGAGAAAGAAGGGGATGTTCTTCCTATATTACTATACCACCATTAAAGGAGTGCTAGTTTCTGATACTTTCACATACTACTTGCTCCAATTAGTGTGGAGAACTAACTTCCTCACTGGCACACTGGTTTTAGTTATCTTTGCATCCTTGTGCCTAACTTTTATTTTATTTATATTCCTAATTGTTGCACAACCCATAATCTACTCATGGACCTTGAACAGGATTTGCATGCAGTGGGCTATTGCACAGCTAATTTACCTTAGATGCTTATTGCACTCGGACTTGACTTCAACTTCTGTCTTTTGCAAGAACTGGCTTCATGTGATCTTGAATTAAAGATTCTTAAAAGACAACAAGCTTAAACATTAGGATGTTTTATCATAAAAGTACAACCTATTTTTCCTGGTCAGATGCATTGTCTTAATATCCATTCTTTATCTACTTAACAATTCAAGATCGACTTGGTGAAATCTTTTTGACCAACTCATGGTCTGACACTTGGACTGTACAAGTTCCTGTTAATGATGACAATTTTTGTAGTCTTCTTCATGACTCCCATCATCTATTGCCGTTGCTAGAAAGAGGCATATCTGGTTTTGTTATGTTGTGGTTAAGTTAGACTTCCTATCCACTGTGTATAATGCTGTTCCTGTTCCTAAATGATGATATAAGTACCCATATTTTTACCCCATAAGACGATTCTTTTGGTAATAGAAGTATGACTTGGTATTCCAGTGTTTTCTTGAGGAAAGTCGCCAATTGATGCGTCTACCACCTCGTCAGTCAACTGCTGAAGCTGATCTTATGATCCCATTTCAGTTGGTAAGATAATCATGATTATGATTACATTACAAATTGTCACCATTTTATTATTATTTTTTTTAAGTTGATGCTTGTGAATATTCTATGTGATGTGGTAGCTTAGTTATATAATGTTAAGAACAAAATAACAAAGTATTTACAATACCATGCCCATCACCAGTTCACTCATGCAAACCTAATATTTTCTTGATTCATCTTTTCCATGTTCCAACTTTTATTGTTAGTTGTTGTGTTTTGGTGTCTATCCTACATATTTGTATAAGTTGAACTTAGATCTTTGCTTACAATTAAATATATGAGCAATGAGTTAATAAAGTTATTTACTGTTGTTGCACACCTTTCAAGTTGTTAATCTTTTGATTGCCAATCCAAATTTTTTCTATGTGATACCATAGGTACATATCATAATCATACACCTGGCTTCCTATGATGCAACTTTAAGACCTTGTTTCATCATGTGAAACTAGGGCTGTCAAAGGACTCAAAGTCCAATACCCGATTAGACTCTGAATCCGATTATCCTGGATTTGGATATTAGAAGTTGCATCTGAATAATAATCAGATCGGATCTGGATTTAACCCCATCCGATCGGGTTAAAATTCGAATTCGATAAAAATTTATTATTTTATATGTTTGTAGTATAATTATGTCTATATATAAATATTTTATATATAGACATATGCTTGTAGTATAATTTGATAAAGTTTATTATTTTATATGTTAAATCCAATTCCTCCTCAAAATCACAACTCAGGTAACCCTGTCAATTCGGTTTTTAGTACTGATGTTTGCTCTATGTCCTTGGTGCCAGATTCCATCTCATACCCAAAGCCGAGAGCTCATGAGAAACCTAGTGTGAAGTGCTCAAGGAGTAGGGTAGTGAAGGGAACTAAAAGAGGTAAAGACCTAGAAGAACAAGAAGAGAGAAATAAAAGAATTTGGGAGATCATTGTGAGTTTTTTGGACGACTTTGAAAGGGAGGTTGTAAAAGAGGTAGAAACAAACAGGGATGAAGAAAAAGTACCGACTCCAACCGAGAATGTGTTCGAACTTCGAAGGGGAAAAAACAGGGAATACAGAGGACTTGGTAATGGAATTTGTGGGGAAACTAGGTTGTAAACTCAAGGACCCCAACGATCTGAAAGTCTTCTTATAGAAACAGAAGGAGGAAGGTAAGGTGAGGAAGCGAAAGCTAATGGAAGTGGAGAGACTGAGGAGAGATGTTGAGGGGGACAAAACTCTAGGGGGAAGATGGGAAAGAAAAAAAGGGCATAAGTAGAAAGGTCTCAGAGGGGTCTCCTAAGCGAGGTTGGAATGAAAATAGTTAGCTGGAATGTAAGGGGTTTAGGAAGTGCGAGAAAAAGAGCAATAGTGAGAGAGGTCATTAGGAAGCTGAACCCAAATATAGTGCTGATTCAAGAGTCAAAGAGAGAAGATTTTGATAGAGATGGGCTAGAAGCATATGGAAGGCTAGGGGTATTAGTTGGGCAATTGCTCTGTCATGGGGATCTTTGGGAGGTATAGTTACTATGTGGAAGAATGAGGTGCTAGAGGGGATTGAGGATCTCATTGGAAACTTTACAGTCTCTATAAAGTTTAAACAATTAGAGGATGGGTTTGAGTGGGTGTTCACGAATGTTTATGGGCCTAATGATTATCGGGAAAGGAGGAAATTATGGGAAGATTTGGGGGATATTAGAGGGTTGTGGGAGGGATCATGGTGTATTGGAGGAGATTTTAATGTAATCCGGTTCATGAATGAAACTAACAACTCCAGACAAAGGGTGACAACTAGCATGAGGAGCTTTAATAGTTTGGTGGACACCCTCCAACTCAAAGAGATCCCTTTAATGCATAGTAACTTCACTTGGCCCAACCTCCAAGCTAACCCAGTTTGTTCCAAATTGGATAGATTTTTATTTTCTTTAGATTGGGAAGAACATTGGGGTGGATTGATGCCGAGATCACTCCCAAGGGTAACGTCAGACCATTGGCCAATAGTGATTAGTGATGAGACACTAAGGAGTATTGGCCCTACTCCGTTCCGGTTTGAAAACATGTGGCTAACACACTTGGATTTTGTTCAGAAGATTAAGGGTTGGTGGAGGGAGAGTAACCCTAGAGTGGAGTGGAAAAGAATGAGGTTCCATAAGAAGCTTCAATACTTGAAAGAGAGACTTAAGGAATGGAGTATGATAGAGTCTGGGAGGATAAAGGAGAGGAAGAATACTCTCATGGACTAAATTGAGGAGATTGATCGAAAAGAAGAAGATGGGAGTACAGAGGAAAGAGATAGGGAACTAAGGTGGAATTTAAGAAAGCAGTTGGAGGATATCTTGATCAAAGAGGAGATTAGCTGGAAGCAAAAATCGAGGTGAAAGTGGATCAAGGAGGGTGATAGGAAAACAATTTTTTCACGCCCTAGCAATGGGAGATTTCAGGCCGATAAGTTTGGTGAATAGTCTTTATATGATCATAACAAAGGTGATGGCTTGCAGGATCAGGAAAGTCCTCCCCAATATTATTGAACTTGACCAAGGAGCTTTTGTTGAGGGAAGACAGATTATTGACCAAATTCTAATAGCAAATGAAAGTGTGGAGGATTTCAAAAGATCGGGGAAGAAGGGTGTGGTATATAAACCGGACGTGGAAAAGGTGTATGATTTAGTGGATTGGTCATTTTTGCTTCAGGTAATGCTAAACTATGGTTTTGGAGAGAGATGGTGTAAGTAGGTGATGGGGTGTGTTAGGTCTTGTCACTACTCCATTTTGGTGAATGGGACAGTGGTGGATTTCTTCCCAACTCTAAGAGGAATAGGGTGAGGAGATCCCCTATCTCTGTTTTTGTTTACTTTGATAGTTGATGTCTTGGGAAGACTGGTCTCTAGAGCAGACTCGAGGAACCTAATAAAAGGTTGGGGAGTTGGTAAGGATGGGGCACCTCTAACTCATCCGCAATTTGCGGATGATACAGCCCTCTTTTGTGAAGCAGGTGATTGTAGATGGTTTAGGAATTTGAAACTTAGCATACAACTGTTTGAGCAAATGTCTAATTTAAAAGTGAACCTTGACAAAAGCTGTATAGGAGGGATAAATCTTGAGGAGAGAGAGTTGGAAGAGTGTGCGGACATTTTAGGGTGTGCGGTGTCTAATTGGTCAGTGAAGTACTTGGGGTTGCCTCTTGGGGATAATCTAATGAGGCAAAACTTCTGGGATTCGGTGGTAGAGAGATTTGAGAAGCGGCTAGCCTCTTGGAAGAGGAAATACTTGTCCTTGGGAGGGAGAGCCACACTAATAAAATCTACCCTTGCCAACCTTCCAATATATTTTTTTGTTAGTTTTTTTAAAATGCCAGGGAGGATTTTCAGAAGGTTGGAAAAATTAATGAGGGATTTTCTATGTCACCTAGGTGAGGAGAAAAAGGATCATAGGGTTAGGTGGGATCTGGTGAGCAGAAGCAAAGAATGTGGAGGACTAGGGTTAGGGAATATTCAGAAGAGGAACGTGGCTTTTTTAATGGTTATGGAGGTTTCCCCTAGAGAAAGAGAGGTTGTGGAGAGTATTCATGGGCTCACAAGCAATGGATGGGATGCTGGAATTTCGGCTAGGACTACAAGAGCTTCTCCATGGAAAGCTATTCAAGCTTCCTTGCCTCTCTTCACTCCATGGACAAGGTACAATTTGCAGTCTGGTAACCTCATTAAATTTTGGGAAGAAGTCTGGATTGGGGATTCTCCTTTGAAGGATCAGTTCCCTTCTCTGTTTGCCTTGTCTAATATGAAAAATAAGCCTATATCCAGTTTCTTGGTGTCCTCACAAGCTTCCTTAGGTTTTGGGTGGAACTTGGGTCTTAGAAGAGCAGTTAGGGAGTCAGAACCGAATAGTACTTTGTCTCTTCTTAATATTCTAGAAGGTATTTTCTTAGATCCTGTTAGTGGTGTTAGTGAAGGGGTATTTCAGTCTTTGTACTTGTTGAGAATGCTGATGTGTACTGTTATATTAGTTCGAGTGCCTCTTACTTAAAGAAGGGCACTCAAGTCTTTTCCAATAAGTTAATAATATAATAACAGGTCTGGCCGAATCAAGGGATTAACTTTTTCCCTAATTCGAACCAG